TTGGTTTTCGGTCTTATAATTTTCTGTTTGGTGAAAACAGAAGTTGATTACTTTGGTTAAAAGTGGTGATTAAGGCCAGGCGCTGTGGCTCACTCCTGTAATCCTAGCTCTTGGGAGGCCGAGGCGGGCGGATTGCTCAAGGTCAGGAGTTCGAAACCAGCCTGAGCAAGAGTGAGACCCCGTCTCTACTATAAATAGAAAGAAATTAATTGGCCAACTGATATATATATAAATTAGCCGGGCATGGGTGGCGCATGCCTGTAGTCCCAGCTACCCGGGAGGCTGAGGCAGAAGGATCACTCGAGCCCAGGAGTTTGAGGTTGCTGTGAGCTAGGCTGACGCCATGGCACTCACTCTAGCCTGGGCAACAAAGTGAGACTCTGTCTCAAAAAAAAAAAAAAAAAAAGTGGTGATTAATAAAAATAATTAAGGATATGCTTGGTATAAAATCATAGAAAAACATAAATATATATACACACACAAGATAATGAATATAAATCTTTACTTAAGGAAACTATTAGTTTATTAAAATGATAATTTCAATATAGTAGGTATACTGTTTTATTTAATATAGTGATAAGATTATGAGTATATTAAATTAAATATAAAATTAAAAATTAAAGTAAAACCTTAATTTTATTATCCATTTACATAATTATGTATTCAATTATGTATTTTTAAATAAATACATATAAAGACATATAAAAATTAAAATTTTTAAAGTCTCTAGGCCATGTGCCATGGCTCATGCCTGTAATCCTGGCACTTTGGAAGGCTGAGGTGGGAGGCTCCCTTGAGGTCAGGAGTTTCAGATCAGCCAGCACAACATAGCGAGACCCCATCTCTACCAAAAAAACCTGTCTCTAAGTGAAAAAGTTTATTTAAGAAAGTATATTTAATGTTAGTGAATTAATTCATCAAAGCAGTTTACAAATGCTTTATCACAAATTACTACATGGATGATATACAAAAAGTAAATTTGAAATTCATCCTTGAGCTTCTGATTTTTTTCTTGGCCCTTGTAATTTACTGTGATTTCTATTAATTCAATCTCATTCATTCATTTAACAAATATTTATTGACCACCTAGTACATGTAATCACATGCAATAAACAAAATCACTGTCTTCGTGAAATTTATGTTTTCATTGAGAGTTAAATGATAAACAGATAAATGTTTAAAATGTATGAATATATCTAAGAAGTGCTCTGAAGTAAAATTAAGTGGGTGAGAAGTAAGAAAGAGAGGGAGGGACTTGCTGTTTTACAAGGGTTGGACAGAAGAAAGTGAGGGAAAGAGCCATGCTAATATCTGGGGAAGAGCAAAGGATCTGGTCCAGTGGTGGGGAATCTTTTCATGTTAAGAGGCAACATTAATTTAGCTGTAATCAAATAAGGCTGCATTCAAGAAATTTCAATTAGATATACTTAAAAATGTACATTACTATGTAAAAATATAACTATTATGTACATAATTTCAAAAAATGAAAACTATTTGTTAATTTTAAAGTTAACTGACCCTTTAATGGCTTTGTTGTGTTTGCTTTTTGTTGGAAAGCATTTGAATATTTGATTGCATCATGGAGGTCTGCAGTTTCAGTTGATCGTCTAGATGGGTATCAGTCATTTGTGACCTTACAGGTGTATTGATTTGGGTTAAGTAGGAGAATGTAGATTCACAGCAATAAGTAGTTGAAAAGCAAGAAAGCATTTTTTCAGGCATGTTGCTGAAGGCATGGGTATTTTGTATTTTTCCATATTTCAATTGGATCTTTCTTAGCATCAAACAATGACTTTAAAATGTCATCTACTAGAGAGCTCAATCAATTCCATCTGTAGTTCTTTAGGTGCTTTGGTGATACCAACTACGTGAGGCTGAAATGCTAATTTGAGTGTGATGTCATGATTCACAAAGTCAGTGAAACTTTCATTGTATTCTCCAATTAATAGGCCTATAATAGCTGCATATTCTTCCAAAGTTTCTCATATATCATCCTGCTGATTGATGACCTATACTAACTGGGGGAAATGCTCATCCAAAATTTCCTTTTGAAAAAGAAGTGTTTTGAAAAATGATAGCTTTTTTGAAATGCTTGGACTTTTTGCATATAGTATATATAAACTTAATTTTAACTTGCAAAGAAATATTCAAGTCATTTTGATTTGACATATCACACAGAAATGCTGCATTCCTATAGAAATCTTCTTTCAATAATTCACATGGCTGATTCTGTTCTCCATAAAATTTAACTGTTCTCACAGAGATAAAATTCTGGCTAACACCTGTCCCTGATATAGCCAGCGCACTTTAGAATGATACAGCAAATCCACATTGAATACCCGAATACCTCATCCTTCAACTTCAGCATGGTATGAAACTGACCATGCCTTGTTACTTTTGCAGGAATATAGTTAACAATACTTATAATATGTTGCAAAACGTCACTTTGACACAGAGATTTTGCTGATGCAAGATACAATGAAAAGAAATGAGAGCATCTGGATCTGTTAGTACTTTTTAAAATCTGTGCAGTAAACACTTCAGGTTTTCCTGTCATGAAAGGTGCACTGTCTGTATATATACTCACTAAATTTACTAAATTCAGGCCAACTTCACCACATTTGTCTTGAAAGTTGTTGAAGATATCTATTCCTCATGTTGTTTTCAAGAGTACCCAAGTGGGTAACTCTTCATAGCAAAGACAATCTTCTTTTATGACCTGAGTGAAGTATAAGTCCTGTGCTGAGTCAGGTTTATCAGTCAGACTATCAGTTGATTCATCCAAAGTGACTGAATAATACATATTTTCCTTTTGAAGTATTGCATGAAGTTGTTCTGTTAAGTTGAAGGCTAATTCATGTTGTCAATCAGCATGGATTCTTGTTGAAATGAATTCTCCATTCTTGATGGTTCTCCTTGAAAGAGGCAGTTGTTTGTATTTTAATGTTATCGGGGTCTAAGCATCCCACAGCTTCAACAACGCATTCTTTCACAATTTCTACATCACTAAATGGCTTCCCTTTCCCCCCCAAGTATATAAGCTACTTTATAAGTTGCTTCAGTGGCATAATTTCCAGGTCTTATTACTGCTTGAAGGAATTGTCTTTGCTTTCGCTTTCCAATTTCTGCAATACAAACTTTTGCAGCTCTCAAATAATTTAAAATATTTGTGGTCCTCATGAGTGTTGTAATGCTGATGAGTATTGAATTTTTTTAATGTTGGTATTGCAGTATCAAAAAGCAAGCAAATCATCTTATTTTTAGCAGAAACAAGATAATATTGCAATTCCCAATCCTCATCAATACAACTGTTTTCTTCCCTCGGCATTCTCTTGATCTTATTTGACATGATGGGCTGTTAAACATACAGAATTAAAAAATACCATTGAGCTGTGCAACTATTCACAAATTCCACTTCAAGATAGAAACACAATGCACCATTGTCAAAAGCTGGTAACAGAATGTTGTACTTGACCCCCATAAACTCTTGCCAACCACTGGTAGTGGTACCAGTTAGATGGGGAAGTTAGAACTAAATCATGAGTGTAGCAGCTGTCAATTTAGCCCTTGTGACTTACTAATGTTCTAATTGTGCCAGTCAATCTGGGAGGATTATTTCATTGAAACTTATTTTATTCTTTGGTATTTTAAATACATTCACTTTAAAAATAAAATAAAAAAATATATAAAAGACAAAATATATTAATAAAAATAAAAGGACTTGTTCTGTAGAATTTGGATTCAGTCAAAAAACTGCACTTCAGAAGGCCACACATGTGGCCTTAGGGCTGCAGGTTTCCCATCCCCCCTCTAGTCATATGAGGATCAGCAAGGAGGCCAATACGGTTGGAGCAAAGGGAGCAGAAAACTGGGATACCTTCCTGGAGCTGCTCCTGCAGGACTTTGTAGGCACTTACTATGAGTGGGAGAAGCAGCCGTTTCAGTGAGTGGGAGAAGCAGCCGTTTCAGACTTTAAAAAAATCGATTATTATGAAAAACTTCAAACTTACACTAAAGTAGAGATAATAGCAATAATGAATTTATTGGATGTAGTGTTTTCAGCAGAGAAATGACAATGGTGTGACTGAAAATGATTCCCTTAGTTACTGTGTTGAGAATACACTGACCAGCAAGGGCAGAAGCAGTGAGATCAGGTAAGAGGCTATTACAATAAGTCCTCCGAGAAATGGCAGTGCTGAGAGTTGGGGAGAAGTGGTAGGTTCCAGATATATTTTGAAGCATATTGAATATGCTGACAGATTAGGCCAGGGCGTCAGAGGGTGGTGTCAAAGTGACTAACATTTTTGGCTAGAACTCAAAGAACAGAGTTTCCATTTATGAGATGGAGAAAACTGTAGGAAAATATTTTACAAAGATCAGAGGCTCAGTTTGTGACATATTAAGATTGAGACTCCTATAACACATCCACGTGGAATCATCAAGGATACAATCTTCTAGATGGACTAGACGTACGTATAACGCCTGACACTGAACAATAACAAAGAATATTTTGAAATGAGAAAAAGTACTTATATTTTTCATTTGATTAGCTTTAAAAAAAAGAAAAAAAAAGTAATTGTAGTTGACAGTTTATTCACTATTATTTTTCCATGTTCTCTTTCAGGCAAAGTCCTAAAGATAATGTTTTTTCATATTTATAATACTAACATAGACAATAATTTGGCATTTTTTTCACTTAAATTCTGTCATCAACATTTCTCCACATTGCTATATAGGTCAAACAACCATGTTAACAACCATGCATCTTTAAATAGAGATAATGTTCAAAAGTAAAAAAGACAAAACACCAAAGAACCCCTTCCACGCCCACACAGCATTGCCAACTTACTGGGAGCAAACACTTAATTAGCTCCACAAGGCGATTGCACTTTCTCTTCCGCGCCGGCAGATGGCGCACAGGCAGCGGAGGCACTCCTCCGCGCTTTGCTGCCGAAGTTCCTCTCCTTTTTCCTTCCGCACTTCTCCCTCGTGTCCTTTGCCCCGGAAATGCTCCTCCCGCACAGGTTGCGGCGTGACCTGGAACGCTCCTGGCTTGTGCGCCGAAGGCTGACAAGACCCGGAGCTGCGGGAATTTCAAGACTGTTCTGCTCTTGCCATGAGGCTGCTGGGAGCCGCTGCCGCCGCGGCTCTGCGGCCCAGGCCGCTGCCTCAGGTCCCTGTAGCCCTAGGCTGGCAGGGGAAGCAGGTATTGGTGCCGGCGAGGCCGAATCAGGGACTGTTCCCGGGACCTTGCAGTCTCTTCAGGACCATGAGGGCAGTGACATTCCGTCCCTCCCCGAGACCTCCTGACTGACAGCTCCGAATACGAGCGGCCGTGCCTCAGTGCTGAAAAGCCCTTTGGTACCTACAAATCAGTGGTTATTCTTGAGCATCGTCTCGGTGCCCTAGGAAGTTGGACGGGCCCCCGAGTAGTGGTTAATTAAGCCTCTTATTGATGGGTACCTTAAGGAGGAGATTCCTTGAAGGAAAGATGTCCACCATACAAATTTTTTCTGTTGTTATCAAAAGTTATAAAAAGTGCATTGAATTGAGCTCTTTTATTTTTTCAGGTTAATTGGAAGTCCTGCCGATTGTGTTCATCAGGGGTAATTCCTAATGAAAAAATACGAAATATTGGAATCTCAGCTCACATTGATTCTGGGAAAACTACATTAACAGAACGAGTCCTTTACTACACTGGCAGAATTGCAAAGATGCATGAGGTATGTGGTTCATGCTTGATTGTAAATTAAATAGAGCTTGATTTTAATTGTTTTGTAGTTAGGATTTAATAAACTTTACAAAACCTGAAAAGTTAGAACAGTGGTAACAGTGGATCTTTAACCAAAGTCACATGCACAAAAGGGATACCTCAAGTTGGCTTGAAATGTTCTGAGTGATATATCTAGATGCCATCACCATGACTGTCCTGAGCAGAGTGTCATTTAAGAATGTTAAATCAATATGATGTACCCTTAAGCAGCCATTAAAATGGTTTTGGCATAATTTTCAATGATACGGAGAAGTGCTTATAATGTTAAGTGGAAAAATGGGCTTAAAATGATATGCAGTATGAGCATCATGATTTAAAAAATATATCAGAAAAAAACTGTTTAAAAAAGTCTTGAAACTCCTGAAGACATTATTATATATTGACTAACTAAACTCTCCAATTTATAGTATTTCTTCAGGAAAGGTTTTCTTGTTAAATCATATACTTTAAAAGCTGAATCCTTTTTACCTAGGCATCAGATTCATGTGCATCAGAGCTGGAAAAAATCTGGTCTCTGAATGTCTGCTCATGGACTAACACAAGACTGGTGGGCAGGAACAATATAGAGGGTGTGAGGGTGGTTCTAAGACCAGAGTGATTGTTCTACTATAACAGTTACTGAGGACAGTGGTGAAAAAAGGGTTTGACATTTATTTTAGGGCAAAACCTGTACAGATGCTCTTTGATTTATGATGGGGTTGTATACAATAAACAATGTGTATATAATATATATGTACTTATATGCAATAAACTTATTGTAAATAAAAAATAAGCTGGGTGTGGTGGTTCACGCCTGTAATCCTAGCACTCTTGTAGGCCTACGAAGGAGGAAAGCTTGAGTTTAGGAGTTCAGGATCAGCTTGAGCAGGAGCAAGACGCTGTCTCTACTAAAAATAGAAAAATAAGCTGTGTACAGTGGCACAGGCCTATAGTCCCAGCTACTCCAGAAGTTGAGGCAGGAGGATTGCTTGAGCCCAGGAGTTTGAGGTTGCAGAAAGCTATCATGATGCACTCTAGCTAGGGCAACAGATCACTACTATGTCTCAAAAAAACAAAAAAACCCAAAACAAAAAACAAGTTAAGGTGAAAATCTATTTAATATACCTAACCTACCAAACATCATCTTAGCCTACTCTAAGGCTTAGCCTACATCTAACTTAGCCTACTAAGCTTAGCCCTACTCTAAGCCTAGAGTACTCATCAGCTTAACCTACTCTAACTTGAATGTGCTCAGAACATTTACATTAGCCTACAGTTGGTCAAAATCATCTAACAAAAGGCCTATTTTATAGTAAAGTGTTGAATATCTCATGTAATTTATTGAGTGCTGTACTGAAAGTGAAAAACAGAATGATTGATGGATACTTGAAGTATGATTTTTCACTGAATGCATATTGCTTTTATACCATGGTAAAGTTGAAAAACCATTAAGTTGAACCACTGTAAGTCAGGGGACCATCTGTCATCAGTTGTCTACTTTATGAGGTAATATGGCTTAACACTTAGGCTTATGTGAAAATTGCATAAGTTAACTAGTTGTGTTCTGGTTCCATTTCAGTAAATACTTCTTTTTCGAATCAGGGACAGAGAAATCTGAATTGCTGTGCTTCTGTTTAGGTGAAAGGTAAAGATGGAGTTGGTGCTGTTATGGATTCCATGGAACTAGAAAGACAAAGAGGAATCACTATTCAGTCAGCAGCCACTTATACTATGTGGAAAGATGTCAATATCAACATTATAGATACTCCTGGTGAGTTGGGTTCTTGATTTTATTACACCTTCTTTTGACAAAAGCACATTTAGTTCTTTGTTTTACTGTATGACCCAATTAATTTTTGAGTATCAAATAAATACTTAAAAGTATAACACTGAATTCCTATCAGAGAAGACTGACTTGGGACTCCAAGCACTTTATTCTTACATGGTTTCCTTTAAAAATAGTGCAAATAAGTTGTGAGCAGGAAGGTTCTTGTCTTTTACATATTCCAGATGATTCCAAAGGTGCCTGTGCCCTAGCACCTTCTTGAAGTGATCTTGTTGGGCCCTGGACCTTATGGTAGGTGAATGGTATTGGTGAGCTCAGTAATCTACATTTTAATTAGAAGATGTATGTAATGAGCAGAGATACAAAAACTTTTAATAAAGCATATATTAAAAATTCAGACTGCTCTTTAAGACCCTCCCATGCTTCTTTGTCTCATTTAGGGCATGTGGACTTCACAATAGAAGTTGAAAGGGCCCTGCGAGTGTTGGATGGTGCAGTCCTTGTTCTCTGTGCTGTTGGAGGGGTGCAGTGCCAGACCATGACTGTTAATCGTCAGATGAAGCGCTACAATGTTCCATTTCTAACTTTCATTAACAAATTGGACCGAATGGGCTCCAACCCTGCGAGAGCCCTGCAGCAAATGAGGTACAGAGCTTTAGACAGAACAGAGAAGGTGTGATCTGGACAGCAAACCTTATATCCAGAAGGTTGATAATTCAGTGTCTTTAAGCTTTATCCTTACATTTTTTCTTTTTTAAACTTTATTTATGTGAATAAAATAAATAAATGGGGCCGGGTGTGGTGGCTCACGCTTGTAATCTTAGCACTCTGGGAGGCCGAGGCGGGCGGATTGCTCAAGGTCAGGAGTTCGAAACTAGCCTGAACAAGAGTGAGACCCCGTCTCTACTATAAATAGAAAGAAATTAATTGGCCAACTAATATATATAGAAAAAATTAGCCGGGCATGGTGGCGCATGCCTGTAGTCCCAGCTACTCGGGAGGCTGAGGCAGGAGGATTGCTTGAGCCCAGGAGTTTGAGGTTGCTGTGAGCTAGGCTGACGCCACGGCACTCACTCTAGCCTGGGCAACAGAGTGAGACTCTGTCTCCAAAAAAAAATAAATAAATAAATAAATGGAACACTGAGTTCAGTAGTTTGGTTTGTGGTATGATTTCATCAACTATCTTATCTGTAAAATGGGGACATAATGGCTTAAATTCTAGTGAGGTTGAAGATGAATTCAGAATATATACTGTTTTGATATAATTAAAAAAGTTATAATCTATAGATTCTAAAAATACTTTGTATTTTATTTAGATAAACCTAAAGGATCTTCTTAGGTTTTAACCTCTATTTGAGGGATTTTAATTAATGTTTTTAGGTAGTATGCCATAGAGATGAAATTCTCTTGCTTTCACATGGTAGTATATTTACTAGGACCAGAGTAACACTTCCTTTCTGTACCAGATAATATTTTACATTTTGCACAATACTATATATTTCACATAGCCTTTAAAAAGAGTCAGCATTTTACATTGTACCTTTTGTAGGTATGCAAATGTAGCTGTAGAGTTAATACTCAGGTTTCACATGACAAAGCTGATGAATATAGGTGGCAGAGTTTGTGGTGGTGCATAAGCTAAGAGTGATGTGTCTCATGACAAAATCTGATAGAATTGATGTATTTGAGAATATGAAAGTGAAATTTTTCATTTTTGAGCATTTAATATTTTCTTAGTAAAACTAAGTGTTTTCACTTTTAGTCCTTATTACTCATGCTTGGCAATAGATGGACTCATTTCACCAAATCTTTTTCTGAATTCCAAGAAAATTTTAACAATTTTATTTATTCTAAAAATTTTAATTTTTCTTTTTTATTGTAGAGACAGGGTCTTGCTTTGTTGCTCAGGCTGGTCTTGAACTCCTGGGCTCATGTAATCCTCCTGCCTTGGCCTCCCAACGTTCTGGGATTATAGAAGTGAGCCACTGCACTTGGCCTCTTTTAGCATTTATTTGGTTATTTTGATTCTTTCTTTTCTCCACTCCCATGTATTTGTTTTCTCAGTTTGTAACTCCCATTAAACAGGTTTTGGAACTTCTGGATCTAGCCTTCATCTCTTAACTTTTCTATCATAGTTTCATACTTTATGTCTCCTCATTTTGCACAGGGTTATGAGAGAATTCTTGAGGCTAATCTTCCAACTCACTAATTTGATATTCATTTGTGTCCCTTTTGTTATTTAGTCTGTATTTTATATAAAGAAATTTGTTAGCAATTATGTAGTTAATTTTCATAAACTTTCTCTTTTATTGCAATATCTCTATTAATAGAAGTAATTACTTTTCAGATCTTTACATTTTATTTTCTTTTGTATAGTAACTCTCTTCTTAGAGGTTAGTAGTATTTCTTGTGTTCACATTTCTCTTACAAGCTATTGGTTTTCTTCAAATATTTGGTGATTTGTAGATCTCTATCCATAGATACAGGTAGGGGTCTAGAGTCTAGAATAAACAATGGTAGCTAGAACATATTTCTTCTCCAGTGAGAATTCCTGCCAGTGAGTGCAGTTTTTGTTCAGTGCAGTGTTTGAGCCCGGTTAGGGAGGCAGGCTAATGGTGAGTGTCTGATGTTAACACCCACTATAAGAATTTTGCTATAAGAACTCCCTCTTCAGAAAGCTATACTCAGCTTTGCTATAGTCAGTTGATCTAAGAATGAGAGGTGGGCTTGGCCAGCCCACTACTTTTTAATATCCTGGCCAGGCACCCATTACCTATTCTTCCCTTCTTTTTCTAATCCAGTGTATTCTAGGGATCCGATGAGAAAACACTTATTTTGGAGTTCTTTTTGTTGCCTAAATGGGGTTGTGGCTTCCTGAGCTCCTTGAGTTTTGTTGTCAGTATGTTCCCAACTGCTTTATATCTTCTGGTCTGACCCACTGATAACACCCTTCTCGGTTCTATAACATCTGCTACTGATTTATTTTTATGTTTATTTTGTTATTTCAAAGGAGTTGGGGAGAAGAAAAGAGGTAAACAAGTGTATTTTTATTTTTCAGGTCTAAGCTAAATCATAATGCAGCATTTGCACAGATACCCATTGGGTTGGAGGGTAATTTCGAAGGTGTTATAGATCTCATTGAGGAACGAGCCATCTATTTTGATGGAGACTTTGGGTAAGTGTTAAATATATGCTATTCAAATTTTATATTTTAAAAAGCATCAAAGAGAAGGAAAGGATAGGTTCATTAGACATTGAGTATCTTTTTGAAGTGTGTCTGGAATAATATTCTCTAAGATGATTTTGTTTTAATGCCTTTAATCCTAGTTGTTCCTCATTTTGCTTAGTATTCATTCTAAGAGAGAATATGTTACTTTTTGAGTAATAAATCACATGGCATGTACTGTGTGGTAGAAGGAGGCCTTCAGTTGGGCTGTTAATGTATTATCTCTTTTTCCACTTGTTTATTTATTTGTTTCTTTCTTTCATTCTGCAGACTTTTGTAGAGCAGCTGCTAGGTCCTAGGTATTGTGATAAAAATTGGGAAGAAAATAGGGATCATAAATACTTGCTCAACCTACTTCACAGGATTACATAGATAAAAAGATTAATATATGAAAACAGTTAAAATTGTATAAATGTGGTTTAGGAAATGCAAGAAGCAAATTGGTAGCTTTTTGACATGGTATATGGTCAGTCAACTGTTGAGTGACCTTTGCAGACAAAGTACTATAATTGCCCAGTGGTTATCAAACCGTAGATTTCATAAAAATCACCTGGAAAGCTTGTTAAAACACATATTTCTGGGTCTACCTCCAGGGATTCTGATTCAGTTGATCTAGGGCAGGGCCTGTAGTTTGCATTTCTGATAAGTTCCCGGGTTGTGCTGATGTTGCAAAGTCTGCAGACCACACTTTAAGTGACACTAATCTGGACAATGTGGGGAGTCACAGATGACTCTTTGTTCTCAGGAGTAACCCCTGTAGCCTGGTAATTTGTCCACAGGCACTTCCTGAGGGGTTTCCTTCTTCAGGGGATTGGGATTGCAGGTCTGGCTGATGGGTGAATGGCATTGTGATCAGTGAACTGTAGAATTGGTGCTCATCATCTATCTTGTAGCAGGAAAAGGATGGAGGCTGTCCATTGGATAAGGTGTTTCTCTCATGTTTTGTGTGACAACTAAGTAATGATAACAGAGCTTATCTACCACTCCCTAGAATGTAAGGCCCAAGAGGGCAGGGTTGTTTTTTGCTTTATTCACTGCTATGTCCCAGCCCCTAGAACTGCCTGGTATGTAATAGGGATTCAAAAAATATTTGTAAATTAGTGACTAAATTCACTTTCCCAGAATTACTGGAGCATATATTTTTGTTGTCTAAACTAGAGGCCCTTAAACTTTGCAGAACCATGAATGGAGCTCAATGTACATACCTCCTTCCCTAGCCCTAGACCACTGGGCATGTATATTTGGAAAGGACTCCACAGATGATTCTGACACAAAGGCTAAGACCCAGGGACCTTAACCAGGATGGATGAAATCTGAAGGCTGTGAAGAGCATTCTTTAGGATATTAAGAGTTTTTTTCTGACTCTTTGGAATTGGCTTCTTTTGCCTTTTTTAAATTTAGGAGTATGTTTTCTGAAAAGCTTATTATTTTTTGACATGAATTTCCATTTTTTTTTTTTTTTTTTGAGACAGAGTCTCGCTTTGTTGCCCAGGCTAGAGTGAGTGCCGTGGCGTCAGCCTAGCTCACAGCAACCTCAAACTCCTGGGCTCGAGCGATCCTTCTGCCTCAGCCTCCCGAGTAGCTGGGACTACAGGCATGAGCCACCATGCCCGGCTAATTTTTTATATATATATCAGTTGGCCAATTAATTTCTTTCTATTTATAGTAGAGACGGGGTCTCGCTCTTGCTCAGGCTGGTTTTGAACTCCTGACCTTGAGCAATCCGCCCGCCTGGGCCTCCCAAGAGCTAGGATTACAGGCGTGAGCCACCGCGCCCGGCCTGAATTTCCATTTTTAAAGAAATACTTTGAAAAACTTTTAGATGATATCAAGTATCTCCATTTCCATTTCTCTCTTGTGTATATTTTATTTAGTCCCTAGAGAAGTGGAGGACTGGTGTCAGGGTTGAAGAGCCTGTCGTATTTAGTTACTTTTTTTTAAATTACAAATTGTATATTTTGTGTTAAAAATTGTAGGATTGGGTTTGTTATTAATGGAAGGGAATAGAGTAAGGTGTCTAATCATCCTTATTAGAGACTATGATGTTTTGATTAATAAGTTATAGCTAATAGAATTTTCAAGAGCTCAGAAGGGCCTCAGTCAGGTTGGCTTTGAATCTTAGCTGTTCTATTTATTAGTAGTACAACCTTGGGCAGGTTACTTTGCCTGTTTAAGTTAGTTTCCTGATCTGAAAATGTAGGTATTATAATAGAAGCTATTTAATGCGATGTAAAGATTAAATAAATAACTCGTCAAGTATTTAGTTTAGTGCTTGCTATAAGTATTCAATAAATGGATGCTCTTATTACTTTGTATGCTTGCCAATTTTCAAATAATTAGACTATAGTAAGGATAATCCTATACACTGAAAAGAATTTTAAATCTTGATTTAGTTGACACTGTAACGTTGTTTTGAACTTATGAATATATTTCAGTGTATACAGAATAAGGATAAACTAGTTTATAGTAAATGGGGAAGAATTTGGTATTACATTTACTGTTATCTTCTATAAACCTGATAGGCAGAAAAATAGAATGTAATATCTTACAAAACTGAGAATTATTTTCTAATTTTAGTGGACTGTTTTGAATCTTGGCTCTTCCATTTATTAGTAATACAACCTTGAGTAAGCTACTTTGCCTGTTTAAGTATTTTTGCCCACTATTCTGTCTACATTTTATTTCATTTTTATTTTTATTTCTTTTTAGAGATGAAGTCTCACACTGTTACCTAGGCTGGAGTGCAATGGCATGATCACAGCTCACTGAACCTTGAGCTCCTCGGCTCCAGTGATCCTCCCACCTCAGCCTCCCATGTAGGCTGGGATCACAGGCATGCACCACCATGCCTGGCTATTAATAATCTTTAAAAAAGTTTTTTTTTATTTTTATAGAGACAAGGTCTCACCATTTTGACCAGGCTGGTCTCAAGCTCCTGGCCTCAAGCTCTACTCTCACCTCAGCTTCCCAAAGTGCTGGGATTACAGGCATGAGTTATGGAGCCTGACATGCATTTTAAAGAGATATATTAGCTACTTGCCATTTGAATACAAATGCATCAGAGCTCTTTCTTACCAAAAAAAAAAAAAATTCAGCCATTAGTCATATCTTTTTCATTGGTGCTTTTATATGTCTAATTGAATGTCCTTTACAGTACCAAAATGTTTCTTTTCTTAGTCAAATTGTTCGATATGGTGAAATTCCAGCTGAATTGAGAGCAATGGCAGCTGACCATCGGCAGGAACTAATTGAATGTGTTGCCAATTCAGATGAGCAGCTTGGTGAGATGTTCTTAGAAGAAAAAATCCCCTCAATTTCTGATTTAAAGGTAAGTGCTCCCGAAATAAGTCTTATATTAACAGGAAAAAAAGAGTTGTTTGTAGTAATGAGAGCACTCAATTTTTTTTGCTAAAACAAAGATACTTAAACAGTCAACCTCTTGGGTATATCCTTATTAAAAAGTAAAAAGATAAATATAGAAAACAATAATAAGGCAGGTTAAGAGAAGAGGTTGCTAAATGTTTGCAGACTAAATATTGGTTCTTACACTGTTGTAATGTTTGGAAACATTGCATAAAGCCCTATAGAATCCTTCACTTGATCCTTCAACTATTTAAAAATAAAGGGAAGATCGCTGTCCAAGACTGATAATCATTTTTTGAATAGACATTTCTTGAAGAAGATATAAAAATAGCCAAATAAGCACATGAAAAAATGCTCAGCATTGTTAATTATTAGGTAAAGCAAACCAAAACCACAATGAGGTACCACTTCACACCCATTAGGATGGCTATTATTTAAAAGAAAAACCCCTAAAACAAAAAAAAAAAACCCTAGAGAATAACAAATATTGGTGAGGATACAGAGAAATTAGAACCCTTGTGCACTGCTGGTGAAAATGTAAAAAAGTTCAGCCGCTGTGGAATACTGTGTTATAGTTCCTCAAAAACTTAAATAGCATACCTATATGATTCAGCAATTATCAGCAATTATTCAGCAATTATCTATACCCAAAAGATAGAAGGATCTCAAATAGTTGTATACCAATGTTCATGGTAGCACTATTCACAATGGCCAAAGAGTAGACACAACCTGAATGTCCTTCAGTGGATGAATGGATAAATAAAATGTGTATATGAGGGGACTTCAGAAATATTGTGGAAAAATGGAATTAAGATAAAAATAAAAAATGTAAACTTTATTGCTCAACATAAGCTCTGTCAAGTTTAACACACTTTTGTGATCAATGATACCAGCCATTTAATCCATCCCTAAAGAACTGAAGGTCCTGGAAGAATAACCATGTCAGTGCAATCTTTTTTACATGATTAATTAAAGAAAAATGAGTACTCTTTAAAGATTTTTTTAAGATTAGGAAACAAAAAGAAGTCAACAGTAGGCAAATCAGGACTGTAAGGTGGATGCCTAATGATTTCCCACTGAAACTCTCACAAAATTGCCCTAATTTGTTGAGAGAAGTGAGCAGGAGCATTGTCGTGATGGAGAATGGCTCTCTGGTGAAGCTTTCCTGTGAGTTTTTCTGCCAAGGCTTTACCTAACTTACTCAAAGCACTCTCATGATAAGCAGATGGTATTGTTCTTTGGCCTTCCAGAAAGTCAATAAGCAAAATGCCCTGTGCATCTCAAAAAACTGTTGCCATTACCTTTCCACTTCACAGGTCTGCTTTTGCTTTTGCTTGACCACTTCCACGTCTTGGTAGACATTGCTTTGGTTGTGCTTTGTCTTCAGGATCATAGTGGTAAAGCCATGTTTCATCTCACATTTTCAAAGAAATGCTTCAGGATCTTGATCCCACTTGTTTAAAATTTCCATTATAAGTTCTGCTCTGATTTTGGCACCCATCGAGTGGAAAGTTTGCCTAACTTTAATTTTTCAGTCAGAATTGTGTAAGGCAGAGATATCTATGGTGTTGGCTACTGTTTGTTCTGTTTATCGTGCCTCTTCAGTTAGGGCATGAACAAAATGAGTTTTTTTCCTCGAAATATTAATACAAATAGTCCATTGCTGTGAGCTTCATCTTCAACATCATCTCATCTTCTTAAAATAAATTATCCATTTGTAAACTGCTGATTTCTTTGGGGCATTGTCCCCAAAAAACTTTTTGTTTGATTTCACTGTTCTTCCACTCAGGCTTCACCATAAACTTGATGTTCATTCTTCAATTTTAGCAGAATTCATATTGCTCTGATGGGGCTCTTTTCTTAGTGCCTCAGACTAGATCCTGTTCAGCCATGTTATAACAAGTTAATATGAATTTATTTTGCTGGAATAAATTTTGAGATCCATACATAGCTTTTTTTTTTTTTGAGACAGAGTCTCACTTTGTTGCCCAGGCTAGAGTGAGTGCCATGTAATAGCCTGGCTCACAGCAACCTCAATCTCCGGGGCTCAGCGATCCTACTGCCTCAGCCTCCCGAGTAGCTGGGACTACAGGCATGCGCCACCATGCCTAGCTAATTTTTTTTGTATATATACTTTTAGTTGGTCAATTAATTTATTTCTATTTTTGGTAGAGATGGGGTCTCGCTCAGGCTGGTTTTGAACTCTTGACCTTGAGCAATCCGCCCGCCTCGGCCTCCCAAAGTGCTAGGATTACAGGCGTGAGCCACTGTGCCCGGCCATACATAGCTTTTTCATAACACTTTTTGAAGACCCCATTTTACATATGTATGTACATATAATAAACTGGGACCATATCTTGTAACTTGAATCCTTCGGCAATCACAAAGGCCTTAGCACGTCAGCTTCCTGATGAGTAGGGAACACCATGTAGGAAGAGGTATAGGTCAGGCCCTAAAGTCAAGCATTTATGTATCCTGGGAAGCACATTAGATAGGTTTTTAATCCACTAAAGGCAGTGAGTGTGTCAAGGCTGTCGAAGAACACTCCTGGGTTCAGTGACATTCGTTAGGAGAACTCCCAGGACTCAGCACATAGTCATACGTATGGCTGTGGTTTCATACAGTGAAAGGGTATACAAAGGGAAAAGATATTTGAGGTGAAGTCCAGAGGAAACCATGTGTAAGCTTCCCAGAATTCTCTCCCAGTAAAGTCATGCAGGACTGCTTAATTCTTCCAGCAAGGAGTTGTGACAGCACTTACGAAATGTCATCTACCAGAGAAGCTCATTAGAGACTCAGTGCCAAGGTTTTTACTGGGGTCTGGTCACATAGATAACCCTCTTCCTAGCATGTACCCAAATTCCAGACTCCCAGACGAAAGCAAGTGTTTGGCATATACTGCATTGTTTGTACAAACAGCATAGATAGAGCAGACTATTTTTATCAGTTCTGGGAATGGTGGGTATCCTTCTGAAATCCAAGTTCCTAGACATCAGCCAAAGGCCAACCTTGCAAGCAGACCTAAGGAAAATTTCAGTCCTGCTGTATTTAATTTTTTCTGCACAGGGTACATGGGTATACTTTAGGTTCCATATTATGGTTGGATGTATTATTAGGGGCAGTGGAAAGGCAATAACTTTCAAGTATGAAAGTGATTTTTACAAAAAACAGGGAAATTTCAGAAAACTAATGTTGTTAGGATGGTATAGTTTTAATTTCTCATTTTTTTCTATTTATCTACCACCCTTATGTGTTTCTCTGTTCTATAGATATAAAGTAAGTGTAGTAAGATTTCTGTGTCTTAACTTGTATATTAGGGAGAAGTGGAAGGTCAAATATGTGATGAAGTGGCTTATGGTAGCCTAAGCGATTAGTGATCTAGCCATTTCTGGGTCCTAGCAACAGCAAAAAGCAAGTTTTTAAGGTGGTTTCAAACAGTAATTGCTTACTTCCCATGTATATTTTTCCCTTTTTGTACATACACCCCCTTTTTCATCTTCAACTGTTATCCTACTTTTCATTGTGGTGATGTTTAGAAGTTGTAGCTATAAATATTTTTGCTTTAAGCTTTTTGGGTAACTAGTTTCCTGTTTTTTCATGAGGACTGAGAAATAATTGTATGCTTCCTTTTCATATATCTGCAGTGACAGGTTGTGGCCACAGCACTATTTTTGGCCTCTTCCAGCTGCTAGAGCTAAAGCTCCACTGTGCATTCTCTGAGGCCTGCTCAGCCAGCACAACACATTGATGGAGCTTGCACTAAGGGTTGAACCTAGAGATTGTTATTTTAGAACCTGTTACTATCATGACCCTTACTTCATGATTGATATGTACAGTTTGGATTCCTATTGTGTATGTTCTTTAAGAAAAAATTAATGTTTTTAAATAAAGAATACATTCATATGGTTTAAACATTTAAAAGTCATACAATAGTGTGCAGTAAAAATCCTCCTATCCTTTTTCTGCTCTCTCCCTGAAAACAGATTACCAGTTAATAGCTTCTGGTGTATCTTTTCAGAGATTTTTGTTTTTGCATATATATTGCTTTTTCCTCTATTTTACACAATTGGTAGCATACTGTTTGCACTGTTCTACATGTGCATCTATTTTCTATGTGCTTTTTTTTTTTTTTTTTTTGCCAAATTGAAAATTAGTGAGAATTCACTGATTCCAAGAGTGTTGAAAGCAGTTGTACAGTAAGTCATTTCCTATCCCTGAGAAGGGAAGTGATTTTTTTTTCTTTTTTCCTTGTATTTTTATTGGGGGCTTGATTTTTAGTCTCCACGACAGCCAGCACTCCAAAGGGTATCAGTTCATTTTATTCATTTGTTGGTTTGTAATTGTCCTGAAGCACAAAATATAATTTTAACATTAACTGTCATTAAATTTTTTTCTTTTGTAGCTTGCAATCCGAAGAGCTACTCTAAATAGGTCATTTACTCCTGTTTTTTTGGGAAGTGCCTTGAAGAACAAAGGAGTTCAGCCTCTCTTAGATGCTGTTTTAGAGTATCTCCCAAATCCGTCTGAAGTCCAGAATTATGCTATTCTCAATGAGGAGGAGTAAGTCTTGGAAACTGAATCTTAGTTATGTGGAAATACTTTAACACTTATGCACTATGAAGAAATTTAAGGATGGTTCTTCTAGTTATGTTTGTGATCGTCTTTTCATAATTTATACAAGTTAATCACCATTTTTATGTTTGTAACCATGTTAACATACACAAAATATTTATTATACCAGTTCCCATATCATATTCTGATTGTGAGTTAGAAGTATGATTTGTTTTACTATCTCTCAAGGTTATGTCATTAGAAAACTTTCTTGTTTGGGACCAGCGGTTTTCAGTCATACTATTTTTAAAAAGCTGCAAGAAACAAACTTTCTTAAAAGCTCTCCTTGATTATTTTTCTTTTCTTTCCCTGTCAGACCATTTCTACATTTTTTTAGTCTACTCTGGTCCTGTCACTAGGCAGTAATTAAGTCCTAACAACTTAATTATTGATCTCTTTCAGTGAGATTTTACTTATGTGTGAGGCCAGAAATGTTTAATACATAGGTGCTTTTTCTAAGATAATACTCTTTGATGAAACAAATTGATATAAAAGAAATATCAAATATTACATCTTATAGATTTATATTTCTTTTATTTTAAGAGACTCAAAAGAGAAAACCAAAATCTTAATGAACTCTAAAAGAGATAATTCCCACCCATTTGTAGGCCTGGCTTTTAAACTGGAGGTAAGTTCTTTCCAATATATTTAACTGCTATCTGTAGAAAATTTTCTTTTAGGCTTTTATTCCTATTATAGAATGACTTTGTGAACCTTATGAAAGACTTGGAAAATAGGAAAAGTAGAAAGTACTGATAAAGAAATTCCAAAGTTCTAACAATCAGATATTCTTTTCTAACATTAAGATAGTTCTTTGTTATTAAGTACATTTCTTTCTAGTTTTAAAGTATAAAGTTTTGTTGTGGTTTTAAAGTATAAATTGTTACATAAATCACTCTGCCTGTGTTCTTTTTGTTTAACATTACAGTAGATATGGTCCATGTTTCTATAAACAGTTTAAACATCTTAAATGATAGCATAATATTCTATCAAGTAGATACACCAAAATTTGCTTAAAATTTTCTAATTGTTAGACATTTATGTTATTTTCAGGTTTTCACTGTTATAAATGACATTGTATCTACTTCTATAAATTTGTCCTAAGGAACTAATTAAAGGTATTGAATTAATGTTAGCTTCAGTTCTTATTTTTGCTTATAAAATTGAAATCTTATAAACAATTGAAAATGCCTTGAAATTACAGTTTGATTAAATACAATGAGGTACATTCTTACAGTGGAACATTATTCAGGCTTTAAAAATTATATTGAGATGCCTATTTTTTGACATGGAAATATGTGATTTTTAAAAAATAAACATACTATTATTTTAGAATGGTTTACAGAAAATTTATGAAGATAGTACAGAGAATTCCTGTATATCCTGCAGTTTCCTCTATTGGTAATATCCATCGTCACAACTAGTGGACCTATACTGTTTTATTATTAACTAAAATTCATACTTTGAGTTTCCTTAGTTTTTGTGTATGTCCTCTTTCTGTCTTAGTGTGACTTTACAATTAGTCATTATGTCTCCTTGGGCTCCTCTAAACTTTTAATAGTTTCTCAGACTGATCTTTATTTCTCATGATCTTGACGTTTTTGAGAAGTATTGGTCAAGTATTTTATAGAATGTCCCTCAATTTGGGTTTATCTGATGTTTTTCTCAAGATTATATTGGGGTCATGTGTTTTTAGGATGATTGCAGAGTTTGGAAAGCATCATGCTTATCATATCAAAGGTACAGACCATCACCATGTCTTATCACTGTTAATGTTAACTTTGATCACCTGGCTGAGGTAGTATTTTTCAGATTTCTCTGATGTAAAGTTACTGTACGCTTCCCCCCCTTTCATACTGTAGTTTTCATAAGGAAGTCACTATGCTCACCCCACACTTTAAGGGATGGGGAATTGTGTTCCACATAATCTACATAAATTATTTGGAATTCTTCTGTATGGGAAATTTGTCTTTTCTCCTCCATTTATTTATTTACTCAGTCAACCATTTATTTATATCATTATGGACTCAAAGATATTTATTTTATACTTTGAGTTATAATCCAGTAGCATATTATTTATTTGGTTGTTCAGATTGGCCAGGTTTGGCCATTGGGAGCTCTTTAAGTTGGCTTCTATGTCTTTTTGACATTTTCTAATATTTTGCTTTTTTGAATACTTCCATACTTTCTGGCACTATAAGATGCTGCAGGCTTATCTTGTATATTCGGTGCACCAGCCCTAGAATCAGCTATTTGTTCAAGTAGCCTTGGTTTATTTTTATGGAGGAAGGTATTATAAACCAAGATTTGGGCATTGGATATGCTTTTTGTTGGAGTAGTGTTGCTTCTGTCATAATATTTTAAATGGGAAAAATGGTGGACAAATTGGAAGTATTAAGGGTGGTTATTTTGGGGGTAGGATTATATTTTAGGGGCTTTTTCCTACTCAAAACAATTTTTACAATATGCTTATAACATCTAAAATGAAAAAACCTAATTTTAAATTAAAAAATTGAAATAAGATTGTAGTCAAAATCTTTATGCATAAAGCTTTTAAAAATATGTATTTAGGAATATTTTCTTAGTATTCCCAGAATGGAGATGATTAAGTTAAAGGCACAGAATGTTTTAAGGTTTATGATAGCTTATATTGCCAGATTGCTTTCATACTCTTAAAATTAATGTATTAGATTAGGTATTGAATATCAGAATTGAGTATTATTTAAAAATCATTACTGATTTAATAAATGAAAAATAATACTGTAGTATTTCATCCTTCCATAATTCCTAATGACAGAGAACATTTTTCCATATATTTATCATGCAGTTGTATTTCCTCTTTTGTAATTGTACTTTTAATTTTTTTTGTCTTTTTTTTATTAGGGTCAAAGTATTTTACTTGTTTGTACCAGCTTTTCTCTAATAAAGTTGATTTTTTAAAATAATCAGCACTTTAAAATTTATGTAGTAAAATATATTAGTGTTTTTATTTAGTCATTCTTTAATTTTTAACCTTAGCAGCCTTCTTCATTGTATATATTTTGCCAATACTTTTGTTTCTTCTACTTTTTATTATTTTTTTCCTCATCATTAATTCAGTGGAATTTGTTTTGGTGTGTGCTGTAAGGTAGGATCTAAATGTATCTCCTCTGCCTCCACATAGAAAATCAATTATCTAGTTACTATTAATAGTTTATGAACAATCCTATTTGTATTTTTCCATTGATTTGTTATGTCTCCTTTATCTGTTGACAAGTGTTTTTTATACTTTAGATATTTATACTATATGGGCTATTCAGTCTAATTTGTGCTGGTTCTGTACTTTTTTTCAAGCATTTAATATGTTTTTATATCAGGGTTAGTTTCTTCTCATTACTATAGTGTTTGAAAAATTTCTATTTAACCCATTCATTCCTCTGAATACATTTTAAAAGCACTAATCAAATGTTTATAATTTTTTGTTGGGATTTTGATTGCTATTGTATTAAACCTATAAGTTAACATGGTAAGAATTGACAATTGCAAATATATTAATATATTCATTGGTCAGTATTTAGTATGTTCAGTTACTTTACAAAACTCTTATTTGTATAGTATCTAATGGTATTTTTGTTGTCTTTTCAATAATTCTACTTTACTTTTGTTTCATATCTTAGTGTATTAGACTGAACTTATGAGGTAATTTTAGAAGGCAAAAAGATAACTTCTTTATTATGTGAATAGTTTAAAATTTTTTTAGTTAAAATAGTTAAAATTTTTTTTAATAACTTTTATTTCAGAGAAAGCAGAAGTATCTTGGATTGTGATAGCAAAAGAATTGATGAACAACTACCATTTATTTAATTTATCTTACCTATGTTCAAAGCTAGTATTAATATTAAAGTAGTTTATGATATCAAACTGAAACACGTATGTAAGATGGACTACTAAAATTGGAAGAGAATATTTGAAGGTAGTTGTGAAGTTTTCCCTCTTAATTTATGGTTTCTGCCCTTACCCAATCTTGACTTCTAGGCAGGTCGATTTGGACAGTTAACTTATGTCCGCAGTTATCAGGGAGAGTTGAAGAAGGGTGACACCATCTATAACACGAGGTCAAAAAAGAAAGTGCGACTGCAACGGCTGGTTCGCATGCATGCTGACATGATGGAGGCAAGTACAGAATCATTGTGAGATCAGAAAGTCCTCTCAATGTGGGTGAAGTAGATCTACCTTCCAGGTACCCTGAGCCCTACTCAAAAATCACTTCTGGCTGAACATATGTGTTTTCCTAGCTTTTTCCTTTTTACTTAGGTTTGTTATAGCTCTGATCTAGCACTTTGCTATAGGCTAAATTAGCAAATGTTAAGAACTCATTTTATACCATTGGTTGAGTGTCAGCTGTATTTCATCAATGGCCAAAGTTAAGGAAAGAGAATGTTAGTTCCCTAAGACTCAGAACACAAGATTCAGCACTTTCCTCAAGAGCTATCATTACAAAGAGTATAACAGGCATTTAGTACAGTGGAACTATGGTTCTTACGGGTAAGAGAGTAATAAATTAGCACATAATTTCCCACATTTGTTGAATGGATTTACTTTATGAAATATAGCAGGTGTGAAAACCCTGTTTAACTCTAGAACTTTTATTCCTGTTGTAGAATCCACTGAAGGGTCATATTGACACCAGAATCCACCTGAAGATTTAAAACCTCTCAAGGTCTAGTCTGGGAGATAAACTTTGACTTAAGGCTTAAATTCTTGAATTGGCTCTATATCTGCCATAGCCTTCTATAGTCCTTATGATAAGGCTTTGGCAGTAATACCAAGTGCATGAGCTTTTCTCCTACTCCTACCTTTTCTCAGTCCAGTTCTATATTCCTGGAGAAATTTATCAGTCTAAGCAAAATCTTATGAATGTTTTGGTAGCCTTAACTTTTGTCTCTCCTAGAAGATGAATTGGCAGTCTCAAAATTGGACAGCATGCTGTTTTGTGAGATAGGCAGCAGGGGGCAGGCTAGAGGGCTTAGTGATTTTCACAGCTGTTTCATGGGCCAGCAGCTAGGAGACATGAACAGTTGTGTAACCATTAAAGAAAGACAGCTCTCTCAAACCCACAGCTGTTATAAATGAATTGTCAATGTAAAAGAACAAAAACTAGGAAGCTTGGAGGCACTAATGCTTTGTTCTTAGACTTCCTGTGTTTTCTTGACTGCTTGCATCTGTGAGAAATTAAAATTATTTTTAGGACAGTGGACTCCATTCTTCTGCCTTTGTTTTCAGAACAAACTTTGCAGTTTTTCCTGGTATAGCTCTGTCATACACAATCTCATTGTCTAACTGTGGCAGCATATATGGTACATGCTTTTTAATTCCATAGAAATCATTTCAGAACTGTGAAGTACCATGTTTTGTGAGTACTGTAGGTCCTTCAAGGAATGATGTCATAGCTCTGAGTTTTTTATTTAAAGTAAAATCTTACCTGTTGAGATTTGGTTTAAATAAAGACTCTGAGATACGTCTTGGCCTAGTTGATTATTGGTGTTGCATTAGTACTGGCAAATTTATTCTCTGCAGAATTCATGGTAAGAGATTCTGCCATGTTTGTTTGTGTACAATGTATTTATTGTGCAATTACTTTTTAGTTACCATGCCTTTATTTGTATTGCTTGCCAATTTCATTTGGTATTATTTATTTAGGATGTTGAAGAAGTATATGCTGGAGACATCTGTGCGTTGTTTGGCATTGACTGTGCTAGTGGAGATACATTCACAAACAAAGATAATAGTGGCCTTTCTATGGTAAGCCATTTAATTTCAAAGCTATTTATCACTTGAATTTCAAAAGTCTGTGTTTTCATATAGTACATTTAATACTTTAGAAAAATGACCACAAGAGTTTTCATTGATTACCACAGGCATCAAGTTGATTGTGGCTCTTTGAATGTTGGTTGTAGCTTTTTGACTTATCAAATAGATAAGTGCTCTATGTAAGCTAACTTAATCTGGTTTTTCTTAGTAAAATTGTTCCATGATCCTCCAAATTTAGAGTGGAGGAAAAATCTCCAGCAGATAATACCTGAACTGTGTAGCTCTGACTCCTCCACCTGAGATCTGCTTCCCCACTGTGGGTGTCTTTGTATTAATTGTCATCACTACCATCAAGCTAGTTCCATCAGAATGCTACTTCCTCAGTAGCCAGAGAGTAGACCATTCCCTAAATTCCCTAGAGAACCAAAACAGGCTGTAATATTTATACTAGACTTGGCAATAACAGAACATAACCATTCTGTTATGAACGGTAGAAGGCAAGATGCAACTAGACTGTCTGACTTACTGCATTCAGTCCGCCCTTTGGAACTCATAGGTCCCTTTTCATCATTGAGGGATCCTTAGGGAAGAGTGTGCTCAGATAGTTCCTGCCTGTGAATTCCCTTCACTCACCCTCCTTTTGTGTCTGCTCTCCTACATTATGACCATTTGTTCATGAGGGTAGTCTCTCTCCTAAATTCAGTAAAAAAAAGTATGAGTACATGGGGGACAGGTAATTTCCAGTGGTTCATTTTCATAAGTACTGTCCCAACTCTAACAGGTGAGCACTGTAATAGTTCCCTGTATCAAGTGATGAATTCATTTTATAATTTAGTTTTTTTGTATAAAATATTCTTGAATGTCTATGGTTTTACATGTTAATTTAAGGCACTACAAAAAATCATACAGAAATATATACAATTTTTGTTTGGGACCTATATAAGAGGACTTTTCTGTAAGTATTATTGATAATGCCTTCTCTAAATACTTGTCATTAGCAATGTGAAGTGATTGGTGGTTGTAGGAAGTGCTCATTGAGGCTTTGAAGCAAACAGGTCTTGGTTAGGTTCTCACCTTTGCCCTAGACTACCTACTGGGCCTTAACCAAGTTATTTTATCTTCCTTCCAAGCCTTTAGCGACTTTATATGTAAAATAGGGATAATAATACCTGTCTGTCAGAGTTGTGATTGATTAAATGAGCTATCATGGGTATAAAGAATTTGGTGCCTTTTCTCTGTTTCCCTTATCAGTGATTGTGGTATATTTTGATTTAAAAAAGTAACTTATCAGAAGATTGCAAAAGCAAATGTAGCCATTAGACAGTAAGAAAGAAACCCACATCTTAGCATTTGAATTCATTATAATGATTATGTTAAACAGGTAAAGAAATATAAAAATTATTTTATTTTGGGAAGAAGATCATGTACATGGAGACCTTTATTTATTAATCTTATATTAATATACTTGTTTATTTAATGCAAAACAGGCCAAGATATATATTGTCAAACCTAAAGACATTGGCTAGTGTTTGTCTTTTATTCTGTTGTAAAGTAGCACATTAAAAATTAACCCATCTCTGATCCATACAGTACTGTTTTTGAATTCTTCTCTGTTCTTTTAAAAAATATTTTAGGAGTCAATTCATGTTCCTGATCCTGTCATTTCAATAGCAATGAAGCCTTCGAACAAGGTAGGAGTTTGGTTTAAACCTCAGTGTATCACAATAAAGATTTGAGCTTTTTTTCATCTGTCTCCACAATGCATTTGGTATCTTGTGATAACCAGCAGTCTTATGGTTTCTATTTCTTCTTTTGGTATTGAGGACACCTTTTAAAATTTACCAATCTGTTCCTAATAACTCCTCAGTATATTTGAAGAAACTGAAAGTATCAAAATATTCATCAGACTATACTTTATTACAGACTGTATCTACTATTAATATATATCGTTGGCTTCAGAGTGGTAACTGTAACTTCCTGGATTCAGATCGTAAATTATTAGAAAAGACAAAACAAGGGCATTTGTCCTATGTTATAGGAAAACCCTACTGGAAAGTACTTTAGGATGCATAGATTAATAATAGCTATAGATTAATTGCCTCATGGATTATAATGTAGCTCTAGATTATGTGGTAGTTTTTTAAACAAGACTTTTGCTCACTTTCAAATATAATTTGGTTTTTAAAAATAATTTTATATTTTTATAGTTTTATAATTGGGTTTGATCTCATTTAGCTTCTTACAAAGCCCAAATTGCTTGAATAGGTTTTGCATTTGCATTGTTTGCCATTGGAATTAGTCTGTTCTTAAACCATAATTCTTTAGTTCCTAAGTTGCCTTGGGACTACAATCATAACAATCATGTTTATATGGTATGTTGAAATTCACTTATTCGTACATTGAGTGAACATTTTATGATCTCTTATCATCTAGGAACTATCATTTATAGAACATATTCTGACTAATTGTCATCTGGGGATACATCATTAACAGCTGCTACATCTATTCTGAGGAACTGTGAGATTTTCCAGACTCAGGTTGTTGGCAGAATTCAGTTCCTTGTGGTTGTAGTACTGGGGTCCTCATTTCCTTGCTGTTACCTGAGGACTATTTCTAGTTTCTAGAGGCTGCCCACCTTTCTTGGCTTGTGGCCCACTTCCTCCCATCTTCAATGCCAAAAACAGCTAGTTGAGTTTCTTTCATGCTTCAGATACCTCCTGCCTCTTTCATCATTAAATCTCTCTGACCTACCCTTCTGCCTTCCCCTTCCATTTTTAAAGGCCCATGTGATTACATTGGACCCACCCAAATAATTCATGACAATCTCCCCATCTCAAGGTCTGTAACCTTAATTTCATTTGCAAAGTCCTCTTTACCATGTTAGGTAACTTCACAGGTTTGAGGGGATTAGGGCATCTTTGGGAGGTCATTACTGCACTTACCATGTGGAATTACATTTAAAGAGAATAAAGATACGTCATACCATATTCAGGCGGATTGTTTTGAAAGGGACAAGTCTCAATGTTGTTTGCCTTACTGTTGGTCTTAAGGATCCTTCTTGAATCTACAATAGAGTTGGTAAACATGGTGATTCCTTTAATTATGTATATCTATAGGATTTTTAAAATGTAACAGATTCCATGTTCTACTTTTGGGCAGTTTTCCACAAAAGTCTTGGACTCTCTCTTTTTTTTTTTATTTATTTTCTTGAAGCATGGTAAATAGCTTAAGGTCTTGGACTCTTGTTTTCTATCTGGGTATGGAAAGAAAATTCTATTTGGTTAGCTATTCCCTGATTCTTGGCTGTGTGTGGTACCCAAGGCACATTTTTTAAAACAACGTACGGGGTAGAACTAGATGTGGATCATTTTTATTTCTTAACTGCTGATGTATCTGATTCATTCAGTAAAGTTCTTTCAAAATCCCATTGCTTATCATGCTTAGTAGAACATAATGACTTTCTTCTTCTTTTAAAGAATGATCTGGAAAAATTTTCAAAAGGTATTGGCAGGTTTACAAGAGAAGATCCCACATTCAGAGTACACTTTGACCCTGAAAGCAAAGAGACAATTGTGTCTGGCATGGGAGAATTACACCTGGAAATCTATGCTCAGGTAATGAAAAATAAGGAAGTTAAACTGAATTCAATTTATTACTGTCGGCATTTTGTTAAGAGTAAAAGTTAATAATTTTCAATCTAATGGCTGTAAACTAACAGTGGTTCTTTAGGCTTCACTCTGATTTGTATCCAGATAATAGTGTACTGTTCCCTGTACTATGTGTTAAGTATTTTTGGTCTCTAAATCTTTTTATTTGTAAAATGCTGTGGATTCCTAGACTCAAGGCTTAGGGGATTTGCAGCAAGACCATCCATCCATCCCCAGGTCATGGTTGATTGGGTCAAGTAAATCCTGGTCTCAGCCTTAGGGAGACAACCTGCAATTGTCTTCACGCCATTTCTTCTCAATCAGTACTTGAAGATCATTGTAAAATAGATAAAAGAAAGGATGAGTGGGGCCTGTACTTTCCCAGGAAAGGTCTCATATGTATATGAATGAAAACAAAAGATATATGATTAGAAATTATGATGTGATCATATCTTTGAAATTGAGATAGAAAATCTTGCCAATATATTTACATATTATTCCAGTGAATATGTAATACTAAGGAACAAAGTTGAAGTTTTAGTGGATAGATTAATTGTAAATTAATCAGTGTAAATTAGAATTCATTTATATAAAATCTGTAAAAGAATCTTGTATTTAAGTATCATAAATCCTTTTAGGATACTAAAAGGATTTAAGATTTATTATATTTAAATGAATGCTACTAAGGTGTGTAAGATTCTTAAATTTTTTTTCTTTATTTTTTTAAATTTAAATATATGAAAAAATTATCTCCTCTGCTCTTTTTAGAGGATGGAAAAAGAATATGGCTGTCCTTGCATCACAGGAAAGCCAAAAGTTGCCTTTCGAGAGACCATTACTGCCCCTGTCCCGTAAGTATGCAACATAACTAAACATTATGAGCTGAAATTGAAGCTTTTTATTATGGGATATACATAGCATTATTGCTACTATAAAGATGTTTTTATGTAGTGACACTATATTATGGAATCCATATAGTTTATACTGTAATCAAGACATTTAAACAAAGTGACACTTCAGGATTTGTTTAGCTCCTTAAGCTGGATACCAATGAAGACTGGCATACACATCATTAATAGGCATGTTTACACTTTATCCCAGTGTTAGTATTATTTATTCCAGTTGTACTTCCTTTGGCAGACGGCTATTATGTTTTACTTTGGTACCATATTGCGGATGCCAGAGAACTTGCATTTGCCAGGGAATAATCTCCTGCAAATAAAGAAAATTAATGCCATGATAATATTCAGAAAACATTTAAGAAAACACAGTTGGGTTTATATTTTGTTAGAGACAAAACAGTCTTCATAAAGAATGGCACAAAGCAAGTTAAATTGCCATAAGTGTAATATACATCAACCTGGTACCTATCTGAATTTACATGAATTCTGATTTAGAGTCAAAATTAATAATGTATACTATGCCTATAAAAAGAATCTCAGTTTACAAAGTGGCATCAAATAAAGGTAAATGATACTTTACCTGAGATGCTATGTCATGAAGTAAAATGGTATAGTCTAATTCAATAAAGTCATCATTTCTTTGCTGTGAAAAAAAAATAAAAACCAGAAGTTTAAAGTATAACATTGTTGACAAAAATGACATTTCAGTTTTAAAACTCAGCTTAGATTAGTAGATCATTATACTTCCATTTAGGTAAAAATAAAAACTGAATATCATAATTTGTTTCAATTTAACCTGATAGAAAAACTGTTCTCTTATAAAATAAGTGTTCTTTCAAGTTACATTTTAAAAATCATGATGTTACTTATATATATTTTTTGGTGTTTTAAAATTTTTATTTTTCATTTTATTTATATAAAACTTCTGATTTCACAGGAACTATTGGTTAGAACAAAGGTAGATTTATTTAAGTAAAACAGATGATTTAAAAATATAAAATGTTGAGTCTAAGTATTGTAGTTTAATGAAGGTTGTACTGAAATGATTGAGATATGATTTTATATTTGTTACTCTAAAACTTGTTCACCCATTTTTAGTTTCCAAGTTGTGGTAACTACTTATGAGCATTACAGTGTTTAGCTTGTTATTTAAGAATCCTCAATGTTTCCATTGTTCAGAAAAGCATCATTTAAGGCAGCGGTCCCCAACCTTTTTGGTACACGGGACCAGTTTCATGAAAGACAGTTTTTCCACAGACAGGGTTGGGGGAGCTCAGGCAGTGATGCCAGTGATGGGGAGCAGCTGTAAAAACAGATAAAACTTCGCTCACTCACCTCTTCCTAGTTTCATGGAAGATAATTTTTCTCCACATACAGGGGAGTTGGGGGTGATTGTGGCAGAGCTCCACAGCCTGGGGGTTGGGGACCACAGATTTAAGGGATAAACCATAGCAATGTATATTATAAAAGTAATTTTATAATAGAAATTCTCTTTTAGAAAATTGAAAATAGTAAAGTATAATGAATATAGTTATCTGATCTTATAATTAAAGTTTTGATCTGTACTGTTTATTGCTTTGGGAATAAAAAGTGTTTATATAATACACAGAAATACTGCTTCTACACAGTTTAAAACCGTCATCATTAGAGATGTGCTGTGCTTACACAAGGGTTGTTAAGGTTTATAATCAATGTACTGAGATGTGCCCTGGATGCCAAGGGGCAGCACAATCTCCTATGGTTCCTTTGGTTAACAGTGATTATTGGCCACAGGGTCAAATAAAAGCATACTATTCTCTCTTTATAGTACTTTCAAAAAATATTTTCTTTGAATATATCAACAAAGAATGTCCTTTAAAGATAACATAAAAATCAGTAAGAGTGCTTACATGTTGGATCTTAATAGGTAAAGATACATAATACATGTGGCCTGAAGTAGTATTTATATCCTTCTGTTGAGATTTTCATGAATGCTTTAAAATCATAATTTGGTGAAGAATTACAAGAGTTTCTTTTCATAAAACTTCTAGCACTGTCTTACATATGTTTTGCTAAAAACAGACTTGACAAATCATGATTATGATTTTTATGACCTCTGTACCTGGACTCAATTGTTCGAGACCCTTTATACCCTTACAGGAATGTTGTAATCAAGGTTGATGTCTGTGAAAATGCATTAGAAAAAAGGCTTGCTCTGTTTATTAAAATGTTGTTATATTTATGTAAGGTTTTTGGCATCACACTCTTGGGTATTGTCATTAAGTATTCTGCCCTCTGGTACCCATAGATATCTAATAAGTGGTGACAAAATCCTGTGGAGAAAAGGTGCCTTGCAATTTGTTGTTACAAGCTGAAGCAAGTCAACTAGAAAATCCTTTTTGCTCATGGAGCTAACTAAAACTGTTATGGTTCCTTTGCACTCTATTTTTCTATTTCTATTAGATACTAGGGTAATTTTTTCTTCTTTTTAATCTCTTAATAAAGCTAAAATAAAATATTTTATTCTTATCTCTTTAAAGTCTAGAAAAATGCACTTCTAAATAGTCATCACATCAGACTTAAGAAAGCAAAGCTGGCAACAAGTAAGATACGAGGCTGTAAATTATGATTAATGGGTTGGTTATAAGAGAAAATTATATATAATAAGCTAAGGAATGAGTAATACAACTATTTTAAAGACAATACAGCAAGCTTCACAAAGATGGAGATGCTACTATTTTTCTTTAAGCTGATCCGTGAGGAAAAATGCAAGCCATGTCTCTTAAGTATCTGTGGCACTATAATTTCAGTTGAGGAAAGAAGCAGAGTTAGTTTCAGTATGGCATGTCTATAGTAATTTGAACACAAAAGTTAGAATGCTAAACAAAATGATCTGTATTAAACTGCGCACAAAAACTGAATGTGAAATTATATCTCAAGACTTTACTCTCTACATAGTGTAGCTTCACTTGTGACTATCACAAAAAGTGGCCCTGATGACCTTCATAAAACAGAATAAAGATGAAGAGAGTCATTACAAGTATAGTTGTCCCTTGGTGTCCATGGAGGATTGGTTCCAGGACCCTCCTTGGAAACCAAATCCACAGATGCTCAAGTCCCTTACATGAGATAGTGTAGTATTTGCATATAACCCACTCACATCCTCCCATATACCTTAAATCATCTCTAGATTACTTATAATACCTAATACAATGTAAATGCTTTGAAAATAGTCATTATGCTTTATTGTTTAGGGAATAATAACAAGAAGAAAAGGTCTGTACATGTGTTCAGTACAGATGCAACCATCCATTTTTTTTACCTCAAAATTTCAATCCAAGTTTGGTTAAATCCACAGATATGGATGGGACACGGAGGGCTGACTATATATATATACCTGGGATTCTGTCTTGCCTCAACTAGTAAAACTCTTCCAAACCTTTTTGCTATAGAAGATAGTTTGGGTAAAGCATCATAGTTAAATCTGACTTGACTAACTACTGTCATTACCGTGGTGCTTTTTGAAAGCACCTATATACTACTTATTAATAGAAAGTTGAAATCTTTGGTTTGGTCTTGCTATTGTCATATTTTCTTGTCAGTATGTGCCCAAGGAATACAAACTAAGCCAGCATGGTTATTAGAAAGTCAAGTTTGAGGCAAAGGAGGCTGGTGGATTGTATCTCTTAGCCAAACCAAGCAATTTTTTGGATCAGTTGCTGTTTTTTGGACTCTTGCTACAACTCTCCACCTTCTCCCATCCTGATTTTAAATGGCCCCTCCTTTGAAATACCAGGTTTGCTATTTTAAATACAAAATGACTGCAGAGGCACTATTAAAAATTATGAATTATAACACTTTCAATAAATATTAGACCCATTAATAAAGTGTGTTTTACAAAAATTACTTACCACTTGCTTGACAGTTTGAATTTTTACCATGTTATACCATGTGTTTTCGGTAGAATTCTGCCATATTATATAACCACAGGCAACCCAGGCTAGATGTCGAACTGGCTTCATTTCTGGAGATACATTTCCAAAACTGTCTGTGGAGGAGACATTTATATGATAAATTATTTTATATACACAGTATTAGCCTTTTAAAAAAAATCTAAATTCTAAGTCATGTCTTAGTTTCCTTCCAATGTGTGCAGACAATAATTTAAGCCATGGATCTATAAAGTTCTGAGGCCTCTTGTTGGATTAGATTGGAAATGAATATTTTTGCAAAAGCCAGTATATTTCGAATATATTAATAGTTAGCATCTAACAGTTTTGACCACAGATAGTTGAGATTGATTTTAAAGTAGAAAAAAAATATTTTTTCCCATGCCATATTTATATACCTGGAATATTTTGTGCATCTAGTGGTTCCTTCATGGACTTGAGTCTTTGATAAAATGTGTTATCTTCTTCATCTGGGTTCTTTCCAATATCTCCTTCAAATGTGAAGTTGACTTCTGGTGCAGTTTCTTGTCCCATTGGAGGGTAAAGTACTTCAGCAGTGCAGTTCACTGTAACTTGCTGTTGGAAATATTTTGCAAAAGATCCTTACATATAGAAGGTCATCCATTATTAATTATTATTCTTTGAGATAGGATTTAAAGCATTGGCCCCTAATGGTATTGTTTTAGATTTGACATTAGAGCGCCTATTTTTAGAGGTATCTAATTGAGCCCAGCCTATTAATTTTCTATAGGTATCAATATGAGTACCCTAAAATAGATAACATACCATATAAGGTGTCATAATTCTGTAAATTCTAATCTTTAACTTTGAATATATTTCATTATTAATGGAGTGTCCATTTACAAGGCCAGATTTTAGTCTGACTTTATATACCAACTCAAGACTCTGATTACTTTGAAGTTTTTCCATTACTCTTACTACCTGACCCTGAAAGAACATTTTTTCTAACATATAAAGCAATCTGTATTTAGATATAAAATTAGAAGATTCTGGCATTAA